ATGTATGTCACAGCAGCTTTATTCATAACAGTCAAAACTGGAAACGGCCTAAGAGTCCATCAATGGAAGAGAGAAACAAGCTTGGAGATAGCACACTGATAGAATGAACTCTACTGAGCGTGGGCAGGAACTATTGATCTATTATAGGGGGTGTGAACTGTACAGGATCCCTTTTATAGAACTTTTAACACGTAACTGCTAATCCCAGAAAAGCGAACTTCCTGACTTTGTGGTGACTTTCTCTAAGGAAGGGTCTGAGTTGTACAGTGTCTGTAGGCATCAAAACTCAGCTGACTGGGGGCACTTACTCAGTTGTCTGTAATTCACACTGACATGCATTCAAAGAGTCTGAGACACTGAGGAATATCTAAGGAGACAGCGTAAGGCAGAAATATAAGCAGTCTTACATAACAGTTTGCTTGTTGCTTTTTTCATTATTGGAGATGTGTTTGTAATGTCATCAAAGAGCTTGTTTACTCTTTAAACCTTTGGGGCAAAAGAGAAAGATTCTTCATGCATCTCCCTAACTCTAAGCTCCTTATGAACTATAAAAAGAGGTCATTTACTGCACAATTTTAAGAAAACACAAGGTACACGCAATCCCATTTTCAACCAGCGATTTGAAGTCTAGGAAGGAATTTACAAGCAAGTTCCTTTTCTTCTCCCACAGTGAGACCTTTCAGTCAAGAGGAGCCGGGCTCAGTGGCACAAGCCAATAATCCCAGCACTTGGGAGGCTGTGGCTGGAGCATCAGTGAGCCAACCTAACCTAAAGAAGACAGACTCAGGCTCTAAGACACTAAGAACTGAGTAAGTCACAATCGAGGTTGCTGTCGGCAGTAATAAAGAGCAGAAGGGCACAGGCCGCACCGATCCCCACTCCAGGACGAGGCACTTGGACTCTCTTTTTGCCACAGATTAGAGGACACCATGTATTCAGCTACAACAGCTGGCCTGGAGGCGGGGGATAGTATCCTTATGAAAAATCAGGCTCTGGAGTGAGTTGGGCAACTTTTGTGGGATTCAGTGTGTGCTACATTCTATTTTTGGCTACTTTTGATACTAAATGCTTTATAATATTTAGGACAATACAAGAATATGTTAATTAACTATACAGAAGCCCATACCAAACATCTTCAATGTAAAGTAAAAACTAGGCTGGGCACGGTGGAGGCTCTGTGAGTTTAAGGCCAACCTGATCTATATAGTGAATGAATTCAAGGACAGCCAGAGATATGTTGAGAGACCCTATCTCAAAAACAAAACAAAACAACAACAACAAAAATACCATGACGGGATGAGTCAGTGGTTAAAAGCACCTGCTGCTTTTCCAGAGGACCCAAGTTAAGTTCCCTGTCACCACTTCATACAGCTCACAACCACATACAACTCCAGCTCCAGGGTATCCAACACCCTCAGGGGACCCCCCCACACACACACATGCACATCCCCATAGACACACACATATACACATATATTAAAAAATACAATTAAACTTTAAAAATAAATAACTATTAAATACTGAGATGGCAAAACTGAACCTTTAAAAAAAATACATCTGAACTCTTTTGTAAAAAAAAAAAAGCCGGGCGGTGGTGGCGCACGCCTTTAATCCCAGCACTCGGGAGGCAGAGGCAGGCAGATCTCTGTGAGTTCAAGGCCAGCCTGGGCTACAGAGTGAGTTCCAGGAAAGGCGCAAAGCTACACAGAGAAACCCTGTCTCTAAAAACCAAAAAAAAAAAGAAATTTCATCAAAATTTTACCAGTTTGTTACTAAAAATACATCACTATTAGGAAATGAATTAAGGTAATTTCACTTTAAAGTTGTACCTAGAAAGTTCTATAGTGACCTGGTGTAGTAGTGTACACTTAGAATCGCAGCATTCCAGAGGCAGAGACAGGCAGATTTCTGTGAGTGTGAGGCCAGCCTGGTCTAAACAGCCAATTCCAGGACAGCCAGGATTACACAGTAAAACCCTATTTCAAAAACAAAACTAAACCATCTTTTTTGAAGGATTTCCTAACTGCTCCAAGCCCAGAATTAACAACCTCTTTTTCATACTCCAAAAAACAGTACAATATACTCCGTTACACTTTGTGAGATTCTGTTATTCTTTAAAGCCCCTCACTACCTAGTGCTGTGAAGTTATTAACTATCTGCCTCTCCAAAGTTTTGCCCGTGTTTAACACATAATGAACTATTAGCTATAATTTTTAAATTTTTCCATCCAAGACATTTACCTATCCCTAGGGGAAAAAATATATACATATATGTGTGTGTGTATGTGTGTGTGTGTGTGTGTGTGTGTGTGTGTCTACAGTAACAACCAATTAATAGTCAACTAACAAGTACTTTTAATGACTCAGCATACATCTAATGGAAACTAAACTTAAGGAAGCTCTAATGTTCTACAAACAAATATGAAAGTGTAAGTTAAGTACAGAATGTTGGGGGTTTTTTTTGTTTTTTTTTTACCATGGAGAATTCAATAATTATTGTTTTGTCTGTTTTCCACAAATGAGCCAAACAAATGAGGTTAAAAAAAAAAAAGTAGGCTGTATGGAGGTTAGGTCCTCCTAACTACAAAATAATTATATGAGGCCGTTTCACTGTTTGCAGTCCACTGAATGTGGGTCCACAGAAAACAACTGCAAGCCATTTGTGGAGCTAGCCATGACTGGGAAAGGCCCACTCCTCTGTGGATTCATTCTAAATGAGGAAACTTATGCACAAATAGATATAAGTAGCATGTTGGTGGTTAGAGATTTGTGAGACAACGTATTAATCAGATTTGGGGAAGAGTACTTGGAAGTAAACAGTCTCAGCTGATTTATTAAATAAATCAGACTCAGACCTTTCATTTAACCTAAAGAAAAAGAAACCATGTATAGTGACAGAGGCCCGAGGTCCCAGCACGTGGCAGGCTGAGGCAGAAGAATCTTGAGCCTCGACCTGTCTTGACAGACAGAGAAAACAGGTGAGGAAAGAAAGAAAAGCAAGACAAGAAAAAGATATGCAATTTCATATGAAACCAGCAAGAACTTGAGTTTTCATCTGGTCAGATGAAAGCCCACTTCTGAGCCGGTTCACCACACTCAACAGTTAGTGTCTAAATATCCAGCATAGCTCCAACAATCTGATGATGATTTCCAATGTTTATCATACCACTGGTCATTCATTACCCATTACTGGATCACAAACACAATTTGCTAAAAATTAAGTGGGAGATTATATAAAATACAAAAGTACAACACACATATAAGGGAGAGTGTGGTTTTCATTTCCTGAAAGTTCTGATTAAATTTTGACAATAAAATATCTATTTCTAAGTATGGGCTGAAAATGCAATCTGGTAGTTACCCTTTTCTATAATTCCTAGACGAGTACTTTCTCCCCCCAAAGCTGCATAACTTAGGAACTCCTCACTGCAATTACAAAACCAAGTACAGATTATCATAGCTGAAGCTCCAAATCAAACTGCTGACTCAACATCCACGGTCCACTACAAGCTCACTTGAACACGTGTACATCACTTTCTATCTGTAAACGAGAACGGTAGAACCTGCCAAGTGGTAGAAAACCATCATACATAAAGTCCTTAGTCGAAGTTTACAGAACAAATCGAAGGAGTAACACCCGCGGAAATGGACACCAAGAAGAGCTGGAGGTGTATAGCCCACTGGTAGAGGACTTGCTCAACATAAGCTAAGTCCTAATGTTCAACAGCATCAAGACAAACAAGGAGCCGGAGAGACGGCTCTCATGGTAAGCACTGCTTACTCTTCCAGAGGAACTGAGCACCCATATTGGGTGACCCACAACCTCCTATAACTCCAGCTCCAGCAAACTGCCTTCTTGGGTCCTCCACAGGCACACTCGCGCACACACACTGGGCAAATATTCACACAGACACACAGGTGCTCGTGAATAAAAGCAACAACAACAAAAAATTTTTTTAAAGAAAACATTTTAAGGGGGGGATCTTTGGTATTTTATTTTAAAGGTGAGCCTTTTAATTTTGTATCCTTCTGTCTTCTTTGAATTTATAATGCATATGTAAAGTACATACTCCAAATGTAATGTTTTAAAGTTCATAACCTAATTACTCTTTATTAAAAAAAAAAAACAGGAAGTATCAAGGCAGTGATTATGGCCCTTTTGTTTTTGTTCTCCATTTCTGTGTTTTATAAAACATGTTGTCTTTCTAAAAGAAAACGACTTGCTCAGAAGGGGGGAGGGGCAAAAAAAGTAAAGTCCAGCGTTTAGGAATCTGTGCCTCTTTGGAGATTTTTTCTTGCCAAAGACTTCTTAACTAAATCCCCACTCAAACAACCTATCATCTTTGTCTCTAAGAAAACGAGCTAGCTGAGACAAGGTAAATACACAATGGTGGCCTGCGGAACTTGAAAGCCGCTCTTTCTTCCCTTATCCTAAGGCTCACAATACCCTTATCACTATTGTCTCGGACAGGCCGGTAGCAGTCTTTCCCAACAGACTGTAAACGTCTTAGCAAAGGTGGAATTCCACAAACTCCATCCGTCTTGCGTTGTGTTACTAAGAATAGGGCAGACTCTTAAACACTTGTTGAGTTACCGGACACTTCTCTTGGCTCGGGCTGTCTTCAGGAGGCACAACCGTGTCAAACAAAACGAGCACACAAACGACAAAGCTATTCTAAAGCGACTCCAATCTAACTTGTCTCACAACACACTCCGAACTGAAAAAGTTTTAAGTATGTCCATATCCAGGGTCAACCACGACACGGAGTTTACCTAAGTTGAAGCACCACGGTTGCAATCGCCAAAGAGTGGATTCACACTCCCCTTCCCCTTTCCACGCCCCCACCAACTCAGGCACGAACTTCAGGTCTCAGGGTAAGGTGTAAAAAGAACACCAGCCAAGCCCCTACTTGTCCCGCTGCAACCTGTAACTCTTTTTGGTAGTCCGATCTCCCGCCCTCCACTCCCAAACCCGTAAAAGACAATTCCAAAGTCTCCCACCTGCTGCAAAGTGCAGGGGAGAAGACTTTCGGCCGGCCATGTCCTTCGCATTCACGTTCGCTGCGTCCACCAACCTCTTCACCCGGGACACGTCCCCATTGCGACAGGCCTCCAGCAGCTCCCGCAGGGCCCCACTTACGGCTGGGACCCCCGGGCCCAGGCCCGCCGCCCCGGGTCCCAAAGTCGCTGTGGAGCCAACTCCGGCCGCCTCGGGGCTCTCCGCTAAGCTCGAGCCAGGGGAGGACGGCGAGGAAGACGAAGAAGAAGTCGGGGAAGAAGTGGACGACGCGGAGTTGTTACCGCCACCGCCGGCTGGGCTGGGAGCCACTCCGACGGCGGCGGCGGCGGCGGAAGCTGCCGGGACCGCGGCCGTAGCTGCCACCGTGCAGACGGCGCCGTCCACCGGGTCGGGAGATCGCGGCCTGTCGGGCGGGTCCCGGCTGCCATCCCCCTCTGGCAGCGCCAGGCCGTGCCGCGGGGAGGCGAAGGGCGCCAGGCCGCCGGCCGTGGGCGAGGCCGGGGTGGGTCCCGGGGCCAGGCCGGGGCTGAGCGGCGGGGGAGGTGGCGGTGGCGGCGCCGAAGCCCCTGGGGCGGGCTGGAGCTGTTGTTGATGATGGTGGTGATGATGCTGAGAGCGACGCGACGCCGCCATCTTCCCACTCCCCCACTGCTGTCACTGCGGCAACGGCGCCACCGCCCGCCCTCACTTCCGGCTTTTGGGCCAATCAGAACCGAGCATACCGGAAATGATTCTTGCCGAAGAGGGTGGAGCCCGAGAGAAGAAGGGAAGTATTGGGAGTTCAGAGACCAGCCAGCCTGGGGGCGTGGCTTTGTAGGAGGGAGGCGGGCTTTTGTGACGCCCTGGCGGGCTGGCTTGGCCGATTTGAAAGCTATGTGGAGCCACTTTCCTGCCGGAGGAAGTTCCTCCTAACTTCACCTTCTGCGGGATTGCTTTGGCCTGAGGAAAAGGTGTCCGCCCAGTCCCCGCTTCTTGAAGCAGATATTGAAGTGTAACTTGATGCCAGCACCCATCCCATGTCCTCGCCTGAAAAATGGAACTAAGAGTACCCACCTCACAAAATTGTTGGCGGGGATTAAGTGAGCTAAAGCATGCAAAGCGCTCCGAAGCATACATAACTCTAAGTAGCACTTTGGGAATTTTTAAAAATGCAGGGTTAGATCTCCCTACACCCCTGTTATTCGCGTCGGTCTCTTTCTGATACAGGACAGGCAAGACGAATAAGGGCACTTTTATATTCTATAAGGGTACATTTGTACCTAATACTGTAGAAAGGAATTCGTACACGTACACGTTGTCAATAGCTCGATTTGTTTGTTTTAACTCGGGGTGCCTTGAGAGGAATGCCAGGCTCAGCGGCTATGGGAGTATGAAAACTTAGCAAACCTAACTCGACAGAGACTAAGGAGGGGCAGGTGCAAGCAGTGAGAAAAGAGCACCAGCCACGACTCTCAGAGAGCAGGCTGACCACCTTACCAGAGAGACAGGGCCAAACTCTGGGATGATTGACATTCCTTGTTCCCGTTTGCTAGCTGGGAAATGATGAGTAAAGCAGCTCTCTAAAATGTTAATCCTGTCTTCTCAGATTACAGGCCCTCTGAAGGAAGCAGTTCAAAGATTCATCCATTCTCTACTTGTTGGTTGCTCCAACGCTGATAGTCTGGCGAGAGTTTTCCCTGGAAATTTTCTCACTCTGTGACTTTGCTGGATCCCAATTTTAAATGGTGATTCAGGTAATCACAATTGAAATTCAAGCTCTGCCATTTCCTGATATGTATGTACATTCAAGCAAGTTACTTAACGAAACATTCTGCCAGTTTCCCTTTTGCAAGACCAACAAATTTGATTAAATTTTAATTAAAATTAAGATTTTTTTCTTATTCTATCTTTGTACTTTTATTTCCCATTTTAATTTTAACTAATTGTGAAAATGTTTCTTTTTCGTTTTTTTGTTTGTTTTTAAGTTTGGCCCTTTCCCCCTCCATTTCTCTCCACTTCCCTCTTCTCTCCCAAACTAAGATTAAAAACCTGAATTCTGTCTATAACGCACCACTAAGGTGCCATTTTCTAGAGCTGTTTTCTTCTCTACACTTCCTATTACTGTAGATTTTGTGTGGTATCAAGAGATATACCCATGAATGAGATAATTTCAGTGAGGTCTCTGCTTCATTCCAATTGTTCAATAGTGAAATAGGCATTGTGGAAGTACACACTAATAGCATTATTCTAACAGAGTGGACACATGAAGAGTCTTTCCCAAGGAAAAAAAACCAAGATGGATCAAGCAGAATATTAAGCCAATGATTGTTTCAAGTGTTCATTATGAAATATAATTAGCATAATGTTAATATTCTCATTTCAATGAATGGGTGAATTTTGGCATATCAACTGAATACAATAAGATTAGGAACATGAGTGGCGTTTGGTTTTCATCGACTCTAGGACTACAGGTTATAAGTGTAACATTATCTTATGTCTTATACATTTGTGCCCTTTTCTACAGTGACATTTGACAAAGGGTAAGGCTATAGCAGAGAACACAGTGAAACTAAAATCGGGCCACAACATATGTTCTCATAGTTTTGACTCTTTTTCTGTGCACAAATGGTATGACATGTGACAATCTAATTCATAAATCTTTATACATTTCAAGAAACACGTTCAGGTTCCCTCAAACAAAAATGTCAATGGACAAAACTTAAATTTACAATAAACTCAGAAAATATATTTTATTGACTATGAACATACTGCCCTGCCTTAAATTCCTTATCCAGAATCCAAAAAATGTAATCAGTCTCCCCTCCAAAAAAAAATTGTACCCAAAGCATTTCTGAACAGTGAAATCCATAATCCAACTTGTAAAAAGGTATGTCAACAGTGTTATTTGGATGAATGAAGCAAGAAGTGGTAATTGGGTCACTCTTTGGATGTTCTACAACTCTGCAACAGGCATCCACTATGGATTGATTACTACAAACCTGGAGATACAGAAAGACCCACTTACCCAAGGTTTTGTATTTATTTTTCAATCCATGACCACATGGTTTCTCATGAAGGAAACAGAGCAAGGGATGGAACTCTATTTGTTATGATGATCACCAACACCAACGGAATAGGTTCCCTTTTCATCATCAAAATTTGGAAAATTCTTATGATGACTATAGAGCAGAATGCTAGGTCAGCATTGTTCTCTTGAGTCTTCTTAACATGGAGTATTTGGGAGTGGAGGTGAATCACCACAATGTATCAGAAATCAATTGTCCTTCTGCCCCTTGAGTGTTCTCTGAAAGGGAAACATAAAGAATGTTTCATCTCATCATCCCCCGATGGACATTTACTCATATATTGCAGAAAGAAGTAATGGTCAAACTATTTTAAAATGCATTTATTTTGTCTGCTTATCAGAGCAAAATAAATAAAGTCTCTGCTGGATAGCATGAAAAGACTGAATTGCCTGAAACTGATCATAATACATTCTGAAAATGCATTCAGTCAATTGGAAATAGCTTTTTTCATCCTCAGTGGAGAGTAGCAAAGGTGCTTAACATTAAGTATTTATAAAGTGTATGGGCTCAGAAGGACTAATGTTGAGTTCTAGACAGGAAAGGGCAGCTATCACTACTTAATCTGTGGTTGTGCACAGGTCCATGAGGGATAGATCCATCATACTAGATACTAGAGGGATACACTGTGCTAGAGAAAGCAAAACCTAGAATCTAACAAACAAAAGAATTGCATCTCTAACAATTATTAGTCAGCTAGCCTGGGTAGATACATTTCAACCTATGAACCTGACTTTACTGGAGTCTTGTCATGAGGATTCCTTGTCATAGGAAAAAGCCCTATTTTTTGTAAGTACTCCTTGAATGTTAGTTCTGTTCTCTTATGTGGCAAACATAAAATTAACAGGACATACAGCCACTATTAATAACTTTCTCCTCTCAACTTCTTTTATGATGAAGATAATAATTAGGAGCAAATATCTACCATTTCACATGTAACAGAATTCTTTTTGTTTGTTTGTTTGTTTTTTCAAGACAGGGTTTCTCTGTGTAGTTTTGGTGCCTGTCCTGGATCTTGCTCTCTAGACCAAGCTGGCCTTGAACTCACAGAGATCCACCTGGCTCTGCCCCCCGAGTGCTGGCATTAAAGGTGTGCATTACTACCACCCGGCTCCAGAATTCTTAAAGATTGATTTGTTTGTTTGATTAATTCAGAAGTCCCTCCAATCTCCAAAAATTGAGAATCACAGTAAAGTAGCGTTTTATCATTCTCAAAAATATTTACACAAAAATCATGTCCAACTGATTTAAAAATACAAGCATACATTTCCTAGGCCATTCTATTGACAGAGAAAAATCTGCTAACTAAAAACAAACAAACAAACAAACAAACAAAAACCTCTGTTTCTGGAATGTTATGATATCTGCTTTTCTCCATGGTAATTACGTGAACTCTCTTTGAAGGTTACACCATCATAAATAAGCATGAGTTCCATGTTTCTGTCTCAGTCATACTTGGCTTGATTATTCTATTCATACATTTCCAATTGATCTGCCCCACATATGAGTTCATTAGTAGTATTTCAGATCTATTAAGTCCAATTATTCTTTGATGTCCTGTATAATGCTTCCTTGGCAAATCCGCCAGCACGAGGCAGAGCTATAACTTAATCAAAGCAGCGTCATTTTCTCACCTTAGTCTTAGAAAAATATGTCATTCTTACATCAGAAATGCCCATGGTGCCATTGGCCCAGATATCTCCATACAGGTGTTACATTCTCATAGCTAAAGTTCCAACCAGACATCTATGTGAGTCATAATGACAAAGGTGACCAACAGTTGCCATGGCAGCCATCATACTGAATGAATTGTGTCAGACGAGGTTTGTTAAAAAAACAAAAACTTCCTATGAGACAAGAAAAGGACAGGACAGTAATTCAAAGCTGACATATCTAACTTGAAGTTGCTTTATATAAAAGATAACTTCCTTTAAGTACCAAGGGCACTTGATGCTATAGAAGTTAAGAATGTGGATTCTACATGTCAAATGCATGTCAAATATGCATCCTGACTTTGTCACATTGAGGATTAATGCATTGGCTACCCTACAGTTTTGGGGGATGCATGTGCATGTATGTGCACACATGTGTGAAGACCAGAGAATAACCGTAGACATCCTTCCCCAGGTGCCGTTCATCTAGTCTTTAACTGAAAGACAGGATCTTACCTCCCGGAACTTGCCAAATAGACTAAGCAGGCTAGCCAACGAGTCCCAGGGGTCTGCCCATCTCTTTCTCCCAGCTCTAAGATAACAAGCACATGCCACCATACCCAGAGCCAATTTAAAAAAAAAAAAAAAAAAAAAAAAAAAAAAAAAAAAAAAAAAAACATGGGTTCTGAGACTCAAACTTGCAAGGGAAGTATTGTGCCAAATGAGCTGTAGCCATAGCCCCTGCCAACATACATTTGAACAGAATGGTTAAAAACTTGTTTACTCTACTTAAATGTTTTCGAACTAAAAATACTCCTTTCCTTATGAATGGTTTTTCCTCAGAAGTAATTAGAATACACATGTGTACTCCATTAAAGACTATCTCATGCAATATACACAACACACACACACACACACACAGCTTGTATAGCATTGA